GGCCGGCGGCGAGTCTGCGCCACGCGGCGCCGGTGGCCAGGCCGGCGGCGCGGCGGCTAGTCTGCGTTCCGAGGCGCCCTGAGGCGACGCTCGGTCCTGCGGGCCGGCGGGCGGACGCGCCGGCACCATTGCTCAGTCAGTCACGTATGTTTGAATAGCGCTGACCCACTGCGGCGACGGCTGCGGGCTGCGCGGCGGAGCGTGTCCGCGGTGTCGGCGCTCGGTCGCTGATCGCTCGGCCGCCGAGGCCTCCCGCCACCGATCGGCGCGGCCAGCGTCCAGCGCCAAGCGGCCAGCGCCCGGCAGCTAGCGTCCAGCGACCAGCGGCCAGCGGCCAGCGGCCAGCGGCCAGCGGCCAGCGGCCAGCGGCCAGCGGCTAGAGCGGACGGCCACGCCAGCCGGGCTGGTGCATCCGTGCGGCCGGCCTGTGCGTCCACATGCCGTGCGGCGCCAGCTGCTCCATGGAAATGTCCGAGGGCGGCGGCGTCGTGCCGACGTCCGTTTGCCTTTCGCCCCGCGGCGTGTTTACAGCTGCGCCGCGGTCTGTGGAGGAGGGAAGTGTACTGTCCTGCGGATCCGGGGGCTACGCTACCAGGGGACGTTCAGGGTGCGCTACTTGGCCACCGAGGCATGGGGACGGCAACTTCCCGAACTGTGGCGATCCGGGAAATATCCCTCCACCCCCTTGCACACACGGCACGCGAATCGACTCCCCGTACCGAGGCACACGTGATGCAAAGGATATAGTTATGGTCTGAGGTCATTTGTGGCGGCGGACGTGACCGACACCACGACCTGCGTGGTGTCGATCACGTAGCGGGGACGAGCACGAGTTCAGAGTCCCTGAGGCCGAGACGCGGTTCTGAGCCAGACGTGACGCACAGCTCATGTGATCACATCGTCAGCTGTCGAAAAAGCGCCCCGTTTCCCGTCGACTCTGGACTGTGTTGTGAATTAGCCTCGTCACGGCGCCCAGTCCGGACAAAGAGGGAGCCAGTCGGAGGGTCGTTTGCGAAACCTTCCTGTCGGCCAGCCAGGGCACGCACTCGCGCGTGACCATACGGCATCCCCCACGGCGGCGGACTGTCTCCGCTAACTTTCAAACACCTCTGTGGTGCCATTGCCGCGACGGCGTGGCAGTCTGGTTGTCGTGCCGAGCCGCAGCGCCGCCACGTCCGGCCGCCAGCGGGCTGGCGGCCGGCGGCGTCTCCTCCCACCTCACGTCCCGGGGCGCGGCGTCGGTGCCGTGCCGCTCCGTGACGGCGGCGGCCGTCTGACGGGCCTGGACGCGCCGCGTGGCACCGGGCCGCACCAGCCGGGCGCGGCCCGGCCGTCGCCCTGCATAATAGACACGCCACCTCCGGCCGTGCGCGGCTCTTGTCGGGCTTTGTTGGTGGGTTGTGGCCGGAGCCGTCGCCATGTCGTGAGCCGTGAGCTGCGCGGCCCTGGGCGTGAGCGGCCGACACGCGACGTCGTCGTGAGCCGTGAGCGGCCGACTCATAACGTCGTCGTGAGTCGCGAGCGGCGGTGCCGAGAGTCATGTGGTCTCGGGATGTCACCCGGAGCCGCTCGGTCATGAGCCGGGGGTGGCGGTGCTGCGGGTCGCGGCCTGACCCCTGGTTGTCGTGAGCACTTCGTGAGCGGCGCATGCCGTCGTCCATCTCTCGTGACTTGTGAGCGGCGACGGAGCGTGACACCGAACCCGCCGTCACCCGCCGTGACCTGTCACGTTTCCGGCCGTCACCCGGAGCACTAGCCCGCCAGAGCGCCGCCCCACCGTCACGTGACGCCCGCGAACCAGGCCGCTGGCGGTCACGTGACGGTCAGGGTCGGCGGCGCATTCCAGGCCGGTTGAAATGGCGTGCGCGTGGCGGAGCGTGGCCGATCGCGCCTGCACGGTGTTAATGAGAGACAGCACGCGGCCACGAGCGGGCCGGGTACGCACTCACCGGGACTGCAAGGCGGCAACAGCACGGTATCTGGGCGTGCCCGTGTTGCGGCAGCGTTTGCGAGCGGTGGCTGGCAGTGCCGGTTCATCTCTCCGGTCTGTGGCGGAGGATGCGTACCAACTGCGCTACGTGCGCAGTTGATAAGATCTTGATCGATGGTCCTCGATCTGCGTGGACTTCGAGGCAGAATGCAGAAGCCTGCTCGCATTTATCTGCATCACTCATCGATGATGTGAATCGCGAGCTGGACAGGGCCAGGTCCTTGGTTTCAACTGATTGGATAATCAATTTGCATTCGGCATCCGTCACGCGCTCCGTCTGCATGTTCAGCGACGACGAATTGTTTACGCGGAAGCTTGGCTGAGCTGCGTTTGCTGTCCACGAGCAACGCCGAACTTGCATTCCCAAACCGGTGCCATCCAAACCGGTTCCCTTGTCACGTTTTATCAAACCGCTCTCCATCACCGAACGCATTGATTAACGTTGAATCACTAACCACTGCTTATAATGAGGCCGTGTGCCGTGTGCTTCCTGGAGTAACGAGGCTTGTTATCGATGGTTGCGGTCCATTTAAAATGATTGTAACGATGCCTGCCATATGTTCCAAACGTTCCGTCCAGTTACGACGGAATTCGTTGGCCTAGCCTGGCATGCCCTACCTCGCGCAGTGACCGCGTTTGCCGGCGCCGTGCCTTGCGCAGCCCTCGGCGGCCTCCCCTCCGGCGGTGGCTCGGGGAGGTCATTGCCTGCGGCGGCCCTATTCCTGTCGGCCGGTGTCGGCTGTCGGCGGCCCTCTGCGTCGGCACGCGCACCACCGCGGCACGCCCCGGCAGCGGCGGCCCGGCGCCGCCGTGCCGGAGGGAGCCCGTGCCGACCCAGCCGGCCGCCGGCCGCCCCGCTGACGCCGCTGACGCCGCTGACTGATCGGTCCACCAGGGACGGACGAGCCCGTGGCGGCGCCGGCAGCCGGGCCCGGCGCGCTCGAGCCGTCCAGGCGCCGGCTCGACCCGGCCGAGAAAGACGAGGACAGTCGGGTGGACGCGCTCCGGGCACGCCGTTCTCGCGGGCCCGTACGATTAGGCTCCCTGGAAGGCGTGTATCACTCTGCTCTACAGTGTCAGTCTCTCGTCAGGCTGTCTGGTCCAGTGGAGAGACCGGACCGGATATTGGACCGCGCCGGGTGTGTCTGGCCGTCTCCGAATCGCCATCGAATTCCGGACGTGCTCCGCGGAGCAGCCGTCGCTCCAGGACCGCCCACAATGCGCGGTCACGGCACTCACGCTGGCGGCGTCACGCACTTCGGGCGGAACGTCACACCTCCGAACGGCGGGCCGCGCCGGCGCCACCGGAGCGCCGCTCGACACGCGCGGCTCGCGGCCCGGCTCCGGGCGCCGTCCCCGCATGAAGGCGAGCGCTCGAAGCGACCGGGCCGGCGCGACAGCGCCCGGCGGACAGATCGGTTGGACGCAGGCGGAGCTCGGCTTTCTGTGAGCCGCATCGGGTCAGGTCCGCGTGCGGTCGCGGGCGCGCGCCTTGTTGGTAGCCGCCCGGAGGTGGCCGGCGCCCCCCCTCTGTGCCGCTGGTCCGAACAGCGAAGTCTTCTGCAGTGACGTCAGCTTGCGGTCGTGGGCGAGACATGGCGTGGTACCGGTCACACCGGTAGTTACAGCTGGTCGCCGTTTTTACCTAAAACAGGCTTGTATCTCGCCGCTGTTTACTGCGGGCGGGTGATTTCTAAATCCCTGTGTACGCACGCCGAACTGGAAAGCTAACGAAATACGATCTATTGGCCACGCCTGACTGCTCCGGCCCGCCGTGTCCTGTCGGTTACTTTCGTTCGACGTCAAGGCTCCGAAAAGCGCGGTTTTCCTCTGGAGAATTCAGCGTCTCGAAGTGCTCCGCCCGTGCCGCGGTCAGCACTTAGCTGCAATCGCCCGGCAATAAAGCGTGCCGCCACCTGATAATGTACACACATCGCCGTCGCCTGTCGTCGCATAGTGCCTGTCACACTAGGCGAAGCCTGCGGAGTGTCGACTCGTGTCAAACAATCGTCCCGCGTACTCTGCGGGCGTGGCGGCGCGACGGCCGGCCACGCCGCGAGCGCTGCTGACGGGCGCGTGCTGTGGCTGGCCGGTACGGACCCCGCCCGGTACGGCTTCTCCGCGGCCGGTTGGTCTGCCCCGCGCCGGCCGCTGCCTCGCGTGTCGTCGAGCGCGGCGCCGGCGTCAGTGGTGGCTCGAGCCGGCGGCCGGAGTGGAGGTCTGTGCGGCGCGGCGCGGAGGAGTGTGCTGGCGCGGACTTCACGAGAGAGGCTGGGCACCGCTGTGTGGAGGGAGCGGACCGGTGAGCGAGGGGAGCGGACCGGTGAGCGGGGAAGCGGACTGGTGAGCGCAGGGAACGAACTGGTAAGCGGAGGGAGCGGACCGGTGAGCAGAGGGAGCGGACCGGTGGGCAGGGGACGTTCGCCGCTCCCTCCGGCATTCCGAAGGGAACGGCGGACGGCTCCTGCCGTGCCGTGTCGGGGCGGGACGCTGCTGAGAGCGGATTTGGCGGGAAGGCAGCGGGGCGAGCCGGACACGGTCCGGTTTCTGGCGGAGTCTGTCTGTTGTTCGGCTCAGGATCGCCAGAGCGTGTGATGTGGAAGCCGGGTGACCGTCGGAAACAATCATCAGGGCAGTATCCTCCGCAGCTCACCGGCCGGGGTTGCTGATAACAGAGCGGGATCTCACGTCTGACGAGTGATGCCCGCCACCTGTTTCCCTGCACCGAGCCGGGTTATTCCGTCAAATCCCGTATGGTGAAAGTAATTCACGGACATGCCTGCAAAGGGGTGCAAGCTCATCATCTTGCCACCTGCCAGCGAGGCGCCCGCGTGATTCAGACCCCCGATTATGCTCGCGCTATAGCGGCGCTAGCTGTAACTTGGCAGCTGCTGACGCTGCCACATCAGGTTGCGCCACTCGATCTCGTTGACGGGCTGTCGTCAAACACGTGGTTCTCGCGGTCGGCCTTTTAACGAGGCGGTGCCTGCCGGCCGACAATGGCCGGATGATGGCCGGCTTCCTGGTGGGACTGTGCGGCGGCCTGTCACGGGTGGGACGCGACACCGGCTCTTCGGCGCCGGGCGCATGCGGCGCTGTCCCGAGTCAGCCGTCTGCGGTGGCAGTCGGCCTTGCGTCTGCACGCTGGTTGCCTACGTCTCATATCCCGAGCGCTTGGCTATTGCATTATTCACTCGAAGGCTCAGATATCCTTCGACGTCGCTCTGCTTCGCGCGCTCTAAGGCACTCAGAGCTTCCGAGCGTTTGATCGAGATCTCTCGGCGTTTTTCTGCAGCTGACCCGCCACGTCACCGCCGAGCTGAAGCGTGTCCGATATCAGTGTATCTAAAGCGAATGCCTTCAGCCGATTGAACGGGGGCGTGCACCCGCCGATAACGAAACAATGCCGCGGCGGGACGTCGCCCGCGCCGCCCGCCCGTCCGATCGGCCGCGAACAATGCGACGTCCAGCCGCTCGCGATCCGCTGGCCGGCTCCATTGGCCACGCCGTGCGCCGGGGCCGAGCGCTGTCCGGGTTCAGGTCTCGGCGGCCGCGTGTCGTTTCACGGACGACGATGGCAAAAACTGGCCTGCCGGCGACGAGTCGGCCGTCGGCGGGCGATCCGGGTCACGCCGCGACCCCGGCAGGTCGTCGGGCCGTCGCGCCGCGCCGGCGAGCGCGTCTCGCGTCGCCCGCCGCAGACGTGACGACCGTGACGGACGTGACACGCGCGGCGGGCCGACCTGGTCATGGTCCGTCAGTGGCGTCGACGCCACGACCGAGGTCACACCGCGCGGTCCGACCTGCCGGCTGACGGGTCAGCGCCGTCAAGGTCCGGATGAGCGGGCCGGCCGGCCTCGCTGCCGCCCGGCTCCCGGCCAGGCTGCTCCAGCTCGCCCCGCGCGACCGGACGACGGTCCGGACGTGACGCCAGCGCGCCGGCCGACAGGAGCCGGGCTCGCCGCACGCCTGCAGGTCTCAGCGTGGCTTCCGCACCGGACACCGGTCGGCGGCCGCCGGCGGGATCGTGTGCGGCCGTGCTCGCCGCTACATCATCCGCTGATGAGGATGACTCACTGTCGACTTTGGTTGCTCGTGGTCGCGTCTTTTGACCGTTGAACACAGCCTCGGTCTAAACACTGGCTCTGTTGGTGTCTCTGCCCCGACTTTTGTGTTGTGCTGAAACTGCGGTTGCTGGTAGATTGCACCGTTACGGAATCCGTGCTAGCAGAGCCCGGCTTAGCCGCTTTTTCACTCCGCAAACAAAGGAGCACGCGTGGTTGACGTTCTGCAGCCAGAGCCGCTCCTGTCTGTGTATCCCAAAAGCTCATTCGCTATTATTAAAACCAAATCCATGTTCGCTCTTGGTGTCGCTGTTTTTGTTGCGCTGCCGCCGTGTCCGTCGCCGTCGCTTGACGTGTTTATTCTGCCGACAGAGGCCGCGCCACCGTCGCCGCCGCCGCCGCGACCATGGAGCGGACGGAGGTCAGCGCCGACGGCGTACTCACGCCGCCGCTCAGCACCGACTCCAGCCTGCAGGAGCTGATCGAGGCGGAGCTGCGCACGCGGCGCGCCACAGAGCCGGAGCCCGAGCCGGAGCCGGAACCGAAGGCGGAGCACGAGGAGGCGGAGGACGAGGTGAACCCGATGGTCGTGGCCGCGGAGCTGAAACCGTCACGCTTCATGACGGCTCAGCCAGAGAGCATTCTCGTGGTGGAGGGGGAGGTCGCGGCACCGGCCGACTGCGACCCCGAGGGTGCAGAGATCTGGGAGGATGAGGCGCCGCCAGCGCCGGCGCCGCTGGATGACCAACTGGAGCGCTCCGGGGCGGTCGACGGGGCCCACCGCAGCGCTGCCGAGGCCCACCACGCTGCCGACGTCGCTGCCGACGCCGCCGCGGCCGCCGAGGTGCGACAGTGCGTCGCCAGAGCCGGCTCGGCCGAACGCCGCGCCTCGGACGCCTCTGGCCCGCGCTCCGACGACGAAGAGTACCAGACTGAGCAGCACCACGCGGAGGAGCCGCAGGCGGGGGCCGCAGCAGGCGATGACGTGTGTGCACCACTGCAGAGTCCGCGGTCGTCGGCTGAGGCTGGCCCTGGTGAGGCTGACGCGGGGCCCAGCTACCCGGAGGAGGCTCCGGAGAAAGTTCCAGAGGAGTTTCCGGAGAAGGCTCTGGAGAAGGCTCCGGAGGAGGTTCTGGAGAAGGCTCTGGAGAACGCTCTGGAGAAGGCTCCAGAGGAGGCTCCAGAGGAGGTTCTGGAGAAGGCTCTGAACAAGGTTCCGGAGGAGGCTCCGGAAGTGGGTGAAGCCAGGTGTGGCCAGTTGGCCCGCGAAAATTCGACGGGCGATGATTTGCCGGCCGCCCCGGCGCCCGACGACGGGAAGGAGCAGCAGCAGACTCCGAGCGAGCCGGACCGGGAGGTCAAGTTTACCCCCGAAGTCACCTCACCAGTGTCCGATGACGTCATTGGCGATATGGCGTCGAAGATCACAGACGAGGACAGCGACGAGGGGGTGAGTACTTTCGTCAACACCCTTAGTGCACCAGGATTAGAAATGCAGAAGTCCGTTACCACGACACCAGCAGTCGGTGCCAAATCAGTACCGGCGTGACTGTGCTGGGAACTTACCGGTGCCGGGAAGTGTGGGAGTGGGTTGCACTGGGAGCTGTTGCCAGTGCTGCTATCAGCAGCAGCCAAATCGTCCCTCCCGTGGGCCCTTGCTCTTAATGTAGACGGGTGCCGGTTCGACGCTGGCGCCAGCTTTGACAAATACCATATCTAGTCGTCACGTAAACATTTGCCGTTATTGCAGTGACTCATACAGATTAAGTTCGTTTCAGGGATTTGGTGTGTGTGTGTCGCCGTGATAAATCTGGCAGCCTGCCATCGCCTGGCAGTGATCGTGTCGCCACAGGAATCCGTCCGTCTGCCGCCGGGTCCCAGACCCCGTTGGCACCCGTTCCCCGAGCGCATTCTTCTCGCGCATCGGCGGCTTTCTCAGCGTGGCCTCCTCTGACTGACGCCGGAAATTGCACGCCTAGCGTCACGCAGCACGCGTCGCGCCCCGTGCCGTGCGCGGCGCCGTGCCCCTCCCCACCGCCGGAGTGGGGGAGCGGTGCCGGCTGGACGCTGTTTACGCTCCCACGGCTGCCGCCGGCGGCCGGCGTCGTTTTTGTGTCGGCGGCGGCTCGGTGTCGACGCTATCGGCCCGCCGGTGGATCAGACGCGACCTTCGCCGAGGATTACGGCTCTCCCCGGACATTCCGCCCGCCGGACAGCGCTGTTCGCTGTGCGCTGTCCGCCCAGGGCTGTCCGCCGGCCCTCGTCGCATCTTCGCTGCCCCGGCTGCTCGCGCGCGGGCGCGGGCGGCGGCGTCTTCGCCCGGCGCCGCGCCGGTGTGTCATGCCGACCAGCTATTGGCGACGAGGCTGCCCTTGACGGTGCCCGGCGGCCCTGCCGTTACCGCAGGAGCCACCGCAGCTCGGGGTTGTGAACGCAGCGCGTACGCGTGGCACAGCGAGGTGCTGACGTATGCTCACGTACGACTCCCCGGGGAGTCTCGGAATCTGAAGCTGGCGCTCTGTCAGCGGCACGTATCTGAGGCGGAATGTCTTGTCTGGCGCCCAGCTCGATTTCCTCGCATGCTAGCGCCTCCCCGCGGTTTTGTTTTCTTATTCAGAAGATTTCTTGATAATGTTTAATCTCCCTTGACAGCAGTGGAAGCATGGCTGGCATTTATGGGTATTGCTAGTCATCGGGATGCTGATTTTCCTTGGACAACTTCCGTCATCCGTCTCGTGCATTCCAGAAAAGCCATAAACGCGTCAGATATCTGCCTGCACAAAACCCAAGCCATGCGACCCGAATAACTGTACCCACATTGTTCCCATTGGCGCTTGATTGTTTCAAAAACCCACGCGCAAAAACGGTGCAGGTTTTTCGCTCGGTGCCGCGGCAACCGAGCTCTGGCAGCACCCGGCTGTTTTCTGCGTGCCGTCCGTGTTGCATCTGCCGTGGCTGGCCCGCTTTCTCGGACGACCGTCACGGACCCGTCGCGGTCATTCGGCCAGCGGGAGCCGCTGCTGACCGTTCACGAGGCCACGCGGTCGCCGCTGCACATTCTGCACGGGCTTTCCAATCAGGTGCGCCCGGCGACCCCGCCCGGCGCCGGCTCCGCCCGGGCCGCCCGGGCCGACCGGGCCGACCGGCCCAGGCGGTGTGGGGGTGAGGTGCTGAGGGGGCGCGCGCCGCCGCCCGCCGGACGTGCCGGCCGTGGGGCGGGAAGGCTGTGTCGCGTGGCGGGGGAGTGTTGCGGCGAGGTCGGGACGTGACGGGATGTCTTCAACGGGCAGGATTGTCACACGGCTACCCGCGGAATGTCACCGGCCGCAGTAGCCCAAGGCGCATGTGGAGGCGCCTGTTTCGCTCGAGGAAAACGCTGCTGAAGCATTGATGGAGCATGGGTAAACAACGTGAAATGGTTGTTTGGTTTCGGGGTCATGACTCATGACGCTTTGCTCTGCTTTACATGAACGGTGATCACAAATCTGTTGGACGAAATAGGGCGTATTTTAAAGAACATGGGCAGCGACCACGAAGACGGCCAAGTGGTATAGCGGTGGGTGGCGCGGGGCTTATGGGACGAACCGGTCATGGTTACGGGACACGGAATACTGGCCTGATTGCAATTTTGCAATTCTTCGCCGTCGCCAAATCATTTCGTTCAAGGTGCACGAGCTGTGCGATCTTAAACAGATTGCAATGTGTCCTAATGGCCCCGTGACCTTGTGACCGTTATCACAGCGGGTTGTTGTCGAGGGTGTGAATTTCTAGGTTTTGCCAACACCTCGCGGCTCGACTGAGTGAGGTCCTGCGCTGTATTTAAGATTACCTTCTGAATGCGGTACGCCGGAGTGTCTTCCGTGGGTGTAATTCTGTCCAAAGCATCTGTTTTTGCATTACCAGCATGTACTGCATTTGGCCTGTTTTTTGTTGTTTGTATTTTTTTTTTTTTGCAAAACGTGACGTCTGCACCAACTAATAAAGCAGGCGTGGGTGGATACTGCAATCACTGTAGAAATCAGCGCGCCCAGCAGCGGCGTTGTAGTTCCTGTTTAGTGAGTCGGGGCTGCTCTAGCCGCCACAGTTGAGAAGCAAGTGGATCAAATTTTCTGGAAGAATCCTGTCGGGGCTTAGCTTGCGCCATTTCAGGTTGATTTATCAAGTAAGGTGGGCCATGTTATGAAAGCTTGTCCATTTTTTCAGCGTATTTTGCGAAACAACGCCGCTCTCATTTAGTGAACGTCATCTTTAGAACTGATTCCGTAGGATAGTCTTGGCACGCCAACAGGTCATAAATGATAAGCTCATAAGCGATGCAGGTTTCATTTTCGTGCGTAGCACAAGAAAACGTTTTATCGTAAAAGACTTGTTCACACAAATTTCTTGAACCTTTATAGAATATGCTGGCTACCATAGTCAGACGTAAGGCTTGTGCCCATCTAAAACTTTTAACGGAGATGAGTGTTCTAAAGTACGGACACTAGAAAAACTACACCGTGCGTGAGCATTGGTTCCCACGTAAATCGGCCAGTAGTAAGACAATGACCGTCACGTAAACATTTGTGTTTAGTTTAGTACTTATGTTATTATTGTTATGCTCTTATATTCCACATAGCGATTCGCTTCATATGTAAACGCAATTTGTAACGATTATTTCCGCCCACATCAATGAGGAAAAATCGCCATCGTGACGGACCGATGGGAGCGAATAGTTCCAGTAAGGCAGACGTGTACTCGTGAGGCCGTGTTTGAATTACGCTAGCGAACGAGGCGAGCGCGTTTCACTAGCTTTCCTTCACGTTCGCAGCTCGGACGCCTGTGGGATTCTCGATGCGGGGCGGTGTGAAAGTGCGGTCAACCAAACGTAAAAACCTCGGTACAAACTGCTGCCCGCTTGGTCCTTTATACGCCAGGGGGCCATAAATCCAGCGTCCTTCGGGGGGGCGTTACGCGTTTTTGTCGCCCCCTTGCTCGGGCGCCGCGCGCGGTCGCCGGAATGGCGTAAGTGGGATGCGGCGGGGTCAGTAACGATGTGACGCCGGTTTTTGTTCACTTGCCATTTGTACCCGCCAGGTGGGGGACGGCGCCGACAAGAGAAGGGCGGACGGCAAGGAGGGCAGCAAGAAGCTGCGCAGGAAGAAAAAGTCCGACACCGAGAAGGAAAACAGCCGCGTGGTAGGCACCAGCTCGGTTTATACCTATTTTCCGTGTGATAAAGTATCTAAGAAACACCCGCCACCAAAGCCGGTCAGCGTCCCCGTGTTGAGGGACGGTGGGAGGGAGGGAGGACGGGAGGGCACTGCTTCCTTTCCAGACAGCCTTTTCAGACGCGTGGAGCGGCGCGGTTCGTCGCGCCGGCAGCGGAGGCGGCGGCGCGCGCCGATTGGTCGGCCGCCGACGCCGGCGTCGGCCGACGGAGCGGAAAATCGGTAATGTCCCGCGGCGCGGCGGCCGGGTGTGGTCGGCCGCCGCCGCCGCCGCGCGGACGCCCCGCCGGCCTGTTCTCGCTTCGGAGCGGGTCAGGCCGGCCCGGCTCCAGACGAAATCGGCGATCACGAACACGGGCTTTCACGACTTTCACGAGAGCAGCGTCGGGATGCGAGAGAGCATACCAGGTCAGCTTACAGCTCTCTGACCACCGATACCACCATCTGAATCATGGGGGCTGGGGCAGCTGCTGTGTACCTCAAGCTATGCACAGTGTGATAAGCTAGATCACGACGTTGGGATGGGAAAGAATGATTTGTTGATTGTTTGTCTTGTTTGGAAAAGGTGCCACCGTGATATTCCCATTGGAAAAACACGGACAGAGCGTAGTGCCTTACATGCGTCGGTTACAGAGATATAGCTGTGCAAGTCCGTATGCAACATAGTTTCCTCTAATCATTCTCTTCAAAGAATGGTTTGATGACCCTCGTAGCGTTTTTCTCTAGCAGAATTGATTCCTGCTAATTCTTGCTGATGTATGATGTATGATGTATGAAGCAACACATAGAAGAAAAGGGTCGGCCATTTTCTTCTCTGTGTTGCTTCATCCTGCGTCTTGGCGACACCCCGTTTGTCCGGGGTAGGCTGCATGTGCCGGCCACGGGTGGGCCGAGAGGCCCCTGGCTCCGACCGGACGTCCAGCGCACTCAGTCTATGCGCGGGTTAAAGCTCGGTTACCCCCTCCCCCCCCCCCTCCTAGGCGCATGTAGCTCTGCCCCACTGTTACCCATTCTCCTTTATTCCATAGTCCTGAACGGATCATTTCTGGTCAGGGGACTCAAATCCCAGCGACCAGCCCCGCTGATGCTGCCCTCTGGATTAAATCGCACCTATGTGGTCAGCGACATCTACTGCGCTGGATGTGAACGACAGTTGTTCAGCCCCGCGGGCCTGGATAGCAGCTACTGTTGTACCTTTTATCCGCTAGGTGGCAGAGACAGGCGTTTTTGCTTTTACGAAGTCTCCAAGTTACCAAGATGGGAAAACAGCAGCGGAAAGTTGCGAAGGACATGCCCTCGATATGGCTGAGGAAAACTGCATCTCATCTAGATTCTTCTTTCCCACTCCCCATACCAACTTCGCTGCCAATATCCAACAGTTATCTAGCAGCCATCTCGCTCTTTGGAGCAACGGACATCGAGGCATCATGGCAGCCTAGCTCATATCTGGGACCATTTTGAGAGTGACATAGCCCCACAGTTACGCACGCTTTTATCGGCGACCGTTAGAATTGGAGACGCGTCAGCATGAGTTACGTAAGCATTGTCCCGTTCGCGCATTTTGCGTAACGCCGCTAAGTGGTCAGGGTTGCCAACTACATTCCATCCGTCCAGCCGCCCAGCCCTGCGCGCAGGAATGCTATGTGGGACGCACCGCAAGGTTTGTTTTTAACGGGTGTCGACCTTCATTCAGTGGGACCGCCTTCGTTCTTCCAGCACTTCCCGACCAATCCGTACCGTTTTGTTCACACAGGGTCCGTGTTGTGCCCAGATACTGGGACAGGTCTGGAACTGCGCTATCGCCCCACTGGCTAAACACTTTTCTTGGAACTCGCTAATATGCTGTGACTATTGGCATCTTTCTCTGCGTGTCGATTCTCGTGAATCCCGGAGCGAGGATACAGTCCCCTATTCGTTTGTGGTCCCTCCCCCTCCCCTCCTCACCCACATTTGAGAAGAAATTAGTTAAATTCTGGGGGAACTCGTTTCCGTGTATGTTGGACGCCCGCATGGGTATTTTCCGAGCTCATCTCCCCCCCCCCACACATTTATTTTGCGAAACCACACCTGTGTCCTCTAGACCCCGGCTCTCGCCATGGCACTTGGTGCCCGATTCTCGGGACGCTCGGTGCCCGATTCCCGGGATACTAGGTGCCCGATTCCCGGGATACTGGGTGCCCGGTTCCCGAGACACTCAGTGTCCGGTTCCCAGGACACTCAGTGTCTTGTTCCCGGGACACTCCGTGTCCGGTTCCAGGGAAGCTCGGTGCCCGGTTTCCGGGATGCTCGGCGCCCGGCTCCCGAGATATTCGGTGTCCGGTTCCCGTGCCTGCCCGCCGGCCTCTGAGCCCGCTGACCGCCCTCCACCGAACCAACTAGAGCGCAGTACAGCCCGTTTCCCACGGCCGTTTGTCATCTCCCGAGCAGGCGGCGACGCGCGGTGGGAGTGGCCGTGGACGCGTGTCGCGCGCCGGCCGGGCCGCAGCACGTGGCGCACGTGGTCGGTCGGCGGGTCTCCCCGCCACGGTGCGCGGCTGGTGGGAGGCGGCCGGCACTGGCGCCGCAATCTGGGTCACGTGATGTCGACGCCTCGGACAGGACAGCTGACATTTGGGACGCCGGCTCACGGGAAGTGCGCACAGGCGAAAATGAGCGATTCGAGTGAAATGTAACTGAACAAAAACATTCCGCGTTGTCCTGTTTCCTCACTGACTATGGGAAAGGTTTGGGTAAGTACGTTCGGTTATTTTCAAGCGCGTTGAATCGCACGCTGGAGCTTCGCAACGCGCCGTCACGCAGCCAGCTCTGACGCGCCCCATGCCCTTGCATTTCGATGGCCGTGCGCCACGAGTACATGTGGTCCCTGGAACTAGCCGGGCTGTGCCTGCTACTACATGTCTTGCGCGGCTGAACACGGCGGCCGGTCACCCGCACCGTGAAGCCAGAGTGGTCGCCGTCAGTGGTGCATGTAAGGCTTCGATCGTCGCAGCTGACGGCAGTCAAGGCCTTGGAAGTTATGCGGCTTCCTGAGGCGGGCGACGCGGCTGCGCCGGTCACAGTCGGTGGACCCTGTTTACTCCTTGCGGTCCCGATTGTTTTCCCCCACTTTCTTCCTCCCGTGCCCGTTTGCGTGCCGACTGTCTTCCCCCGGCCGTCCTATATCTGTCGGCGGGTAGTGGGATTAGCGCCTCTCGCCGCCGCCGCCGCCCCGCCGCTGACGACGCCCCCCTGCGCCGGCCGCCGGCCCGCTGCGCCCGAGATGGGCGTGCGATGCGGCGCCGTCGCCAGCGGCTGTTGATCTGTCCGTGCCAACTCTCTCTCTCTCTGCTCGGCCGACGGACTTTCGGCGGCCCGTCGCGCCGGCCTTTCCTGCCGGCTCCGAGCCGCTAATGGTCCGGAGAGAGCCGCTAGCCCGGCTGCAGTCCACGCCGCGACGGGCGCCGGCGTCGCCGGCACGCTGGCCGCCTGTCGATATATGCCCGTTTCACTCGGCGGCGTTGCGTCGGCGGTCGTTAGCGTCTGTTACCTCACCGAGCCGGCGGCGGCCAGCTGTCTGTCTGCCGGCTCGCTGCCTGGCCGGCCGGCCGATGCGCGGCTCTGCGGGTCGGGTCAGCGGCCTCCGAGGTCGCGCGCTCTCGTGAGCCGCTGCCGTCACCCGGCCGGCGGGTGGAAGCTGGCGGAATGTTTACCGGATGTGGCACCACTTGGATTATGAGCGCCGCAACCCGTTGTGACAGCTGTCGCGTTGAGGGAAAGCTTGTACAGGCGGGTGTAGGCGAGCTCGTGGTCGTGATGTGCCGCCTCCTTTCCGTATTCTACGTCCCTGACCTGAGCTCGTGGTTACACAGTTGTCCATGATAACAGCCGGGCTTCCCTGTGCTGGGATGCGATCAGATACCTTTTCTACATGATTAGCATCTGCAATGCCATGGTAACCATAGCCATGTTCAGAATTGCACTTATGAATGCGGCAAACAGCTGCTTTGTGTTCTATTACGGAGAGGACCATTCACATGTCGTTTGTACGTCATAAGCATCTGTAGTGTCACCATAAGCGTTGTCATGTTAAGCACCCCGCATAAGAACTATACAAATTTTAGTCAACGAATTTCAATGCAGAAATCGTGTCTGCTTTCACACATTCGTATTCCCACAAGCAAGACGCAAGATGTTGGTGAGGTAACACAGGTCATTGCTAGAATTCAGCAAGCTTGGCCCATTTGGCAAACGCTGCCAGGCATGGCGTCAGCAGAGCATAGCAATGACCGGGAGAACTCCCTGCTGACTGGCATAGTAATGACGGGGATAATTGACTGCTGCTGCCATAGCAGTGACCGGGAGGACTGCCTGCTGACTGCCATTGTAATGACCGCTAGAACTGCCTGCTGCTGCCATAGCAATGACTGCGAGAACTGCCTGCTGACTGTCATAGCAATGGCCGGGAGAACTCCATGCTGACTGTCATGGTGATGACCGGGAGAACTGCCTGCTGACTGTCATAGCAATGACCGGGAGAACTCCATGCTGACTGTCATAGCAATGACCGGGAGAACTCCCTGCTGACTGTCATGGTGATGACCGCGAGAACTGCCTGCTGCTGCCATAGCAATGAGCGAGAGAACTGCCTGCTAACTGTCATCGCGCACAGACGCTGATAGTGAAACGGCGCCGTTCCTAAAGCCGTCTCGTTGGCTTTGCTAATACCACGTTTCAAGGCTGTCCTTTTGCAACGAAAGGGCTCACACAAAGATTCGTGCTCTGTAATCTGTTGTTCGCGCAAACGATAATACATAGCCACCCTATTCCGCACCACTCCTGCAGCATACTGAGTTCGTCCAGCCACGCCCCCGTGAGTCGGCTGATTTTCCCGATCATCGCCTGATGTTCAGTACGGCCTGAGCTCCCTGACCGTTGCCTGATCTCCCCGAATAGCTTTAGATTTCCCCGAACATCTCCTGATCTCCCCGA